GCACGGATGGGGGATGTGCAACCGTTCGCGCCCACGGGGCCCGAGTGCGAAGCTCTTAACACCTGCTGGAGCCACCGGCGAGGAACCTCCAGATCCTGCTCCGTAGCTCCCAGTGTGCTGGGGTCGATGTCCTTGTCGTGCCCGCCCGACGCAGCTCGCGAGATCCTCGCCTGCATCCCCGGGTTCTCGTCCAGGGCGCGGGCGAAGAGGCGGAAGAGGAGGGGGCCGAGCTGTAGGTGGCCCGGAATGCGGCCGACGGCGCCAGCGGCGTCGCGCATGCCCGCGCTGCACGACTGATCTTCGCGTTCCCGCCGCTCGGCCGGGCTGTCGGCGTACCCGCGCAGCGGCTGGCTGAAAGCGACCCGGGCGCGCAGCGGCGCGGCTGCGCTCACGGCGGCATTGGTCGCTGGACGTTTGCTTCCACTGTGTTGCATCGCAGCGCCGGCATGCGACGGCTCGCGGGCGAGGCTGCGGACTTGTCGGCGTTCCGCCGCCTTGTGGGGGCCCTGGCGCCCTGGCGCAGCAGCCCGTCAGCGACGCGTCGATTGAGGTCCGCCGGACACGCGATGGCTCGACCTGGGACGGGCCCCAGGTCAAGCGACCCGCGGAAGGTAAACCACGTCACCTGACCTGATCCCTCGGCACACAGAGGGAGCGTCGAATCTGAAGCGTTGGGGATGCTCAGCAGCTCGACGACCTCGGGGAGGTTCAGCATGCTCGGCTGGCCTGCCTCTGCCGCAGGCTGCCCCAGGCTTGCCGGGCGCCCGTCGTGGCCGATGCACGCAATGAGGCGCGCTGCCCGAATCCCCAGGAGAGCGCCCATTCAAACTTTGTCCTTCTCCTGCGGCCCCAGAGAGGGAAGGCCGCGCAAGTCGGGGACCTCGGGGCCCCGGAGAAGCTGGGCCTGCCCAGGTCTCGCCTGGCCACGCGTCGCGACGAAGCTGGAGGCCGGGGGCGTAACCAAGCCCCCATCGTACTCACCAGATTCTGCTCTCGCGAGGATCTTCTCATATATGTGATCCTCCGCGAGGTTGCGCAGCTCGGGTTCGATGCGGGTGTCGAGGAAATCCACCTCGGCGCCGGCGGCCCGGAGGTAGGTGTCCAAGCCGCCCGGTCTGCCCCCATTTCCGTAGAAGGCGATGAGAAACTTCAGCCCGCGGCCGCCAGGTGGATCTTCCGCCGGTCTGGAAGCGAAGGCCGTAGCTACCGGCCTGGGTGCAGGGAGGGGCGGGCGCTGAGAGATGCTCCGGTCCAGCCACCGTCATGGCGTCAACGCCCCTCTCCTGGGCCTCCGCTGCCTGGTCGAGTCACTTGCGGCCGCCGCCGCGGCCGCCGCCACCGCGGCCCCCCCGACCCGTGCCCCGGCCCCCGCTCGGCGCGCACGGCGCTTTCGGGGTGGCGGAGCAGGGATTCGGGAAGCTGCTGCCGTGCCTGTTGCCAAGACACTTTGAGCACTGGTGGGCGAGGTTGCTATCCTTCTCGCAACGGAAACCGCCCCCCGCGTTACGACAGGATCCGTCCTGGAATCCGCCGCAGAGGCGCACCCCCCGCCTGTTCTTGACGAAGTGGTTGTCACGGACGTCGTGGACCTTGTCCTGGGGGCGCGGGCGCGCCCGTTGCTCCGGCTCCGCGTCTGAGCCGCCGGCCGCTTGGCTCCCCGCGGGGCACGGGCGTGCTGCACGGGGCCCTCCGACGCTGTGACCAGGCGTCCGCTGCCGGGCGGGGCGACGGGGGCGTCGCCGCCCACGTGCTGGCTCAACGGCTGCGCCCTGGTGACGGCGAGGTGGGCCGGCCGCTCAAAGTTGCCCAGCCAGAACGCGGCGTCGGCGGCCGCGGCCGCCCAGACAGAGTCCCAAGGCTTATCAGGATTATACGGGACGGCCGCCTGCTTCCCGGCCGAGGAAGCCGCGGCGAAGTCCTGCTCGAGCTTGCGCCGCAGGCGGGGCATGTGCTCGAGCCGGCACCGGACGTCGGCCTGATACAGGAGGCTCCAGACGTCCGCCCCGTACAGGTTGTTGAAGTAGGCGAGCTTCCTGCGGTAGGTGAGGAGATTACCTATCTCCACGGTGCGGAAACCGAGGAAGGCGGTCTGAAGCATCTCATAAGACTCGCCCCAGGTAGCCAGATCCCCGGGGCCGAGGGTCTCGTCCACCCTCGTGCGGCCATCGGAGGTGTTGACCAAACCTATGAATCGCATACGCCGCAGCAAGCGGTGTCCGTTCGGCCCGAAGACGCCGAAATCCAGGTACGGGGCGGTGCAAGTGTCGATGACATGCTTTGCCCCAGTGATCTGGTCCTCGGTGAACTCTTGGTACGGCTCGGTGGGCTTGCCAATCTGCGCGCGGAAATTCTCGTAGTGTTGCTTGACCACCGTCTCGTCGACCCTCTTGATGATTTGCTTGGAGGTCTGGTTGATGACCGTTGCCATCTCGACCATGCCGGGGGCTGCAGCCGAGGGCGCCAACGAGGCCTGCGACCCGGCGGCCGCTGCCTTAGCCGCCGCCTCCGCCGCCGCGCGGGCGTCGTGGGCGGCCGCAGTGGCAGCCTTGAGTGCCTCTGCAGCGGCAGCGTCTTGCGACTGCCGGCCGGCCTCCGCGCCCGCGACCTGCTTGGCCAGCTCCTCGCGCGCAAGAGCGGTGCCCGCCAGGAGCTGACTGATGTGGCCTACCAAGAGTACCGCCCGCCTCGGGAGCAGGCCAAGGGGGCCTTGTCGATCCTGATGGCGTCGACTGCGGACGTGAACTCCTCATTAGGCATGCTTCCCAGGACGCGTGGGTGCTCAACACCCGTCGCCAGCAAGGCGGTGTAGAGGCACTGCTTCTGCGGCTCCGAGAGCCCAACCCACGCCACGACCTTGTCCAGGGAGTCCATGCCGGCCATCTCCTCCCGGTTCGGCTCCATCGCGCACGAACCCACGAGAAGGGCCAGGTGCGTTAGCGGTGAGTGTGCACAATCATATATGCAGGATGCTGTAACCGGTTTTATATGTAAGATGCGGTCCTGAGCCAAAATGGTACGGACCATGCATCTCTGCCCACCGCCACCCTGCTACGCCTGCACTGTGACCGCCGCATAAATGCTCATTCAGAAAAAGTGGCCATGAATGTGGCGAAGCCTTTTCCGTCTAACCGTCGGTTACGACGACCGCCCTTTCCACGACCCTTCCCCCGTCGGTGGGATACTCTGCGTAATACTCTACGCACTCGCCGCGCGGGCTTCCCAATAAACCGTATACAACGGTGTTTTGCGCGTTTGTAGCCTAGGAATCGGTGTTTAGCGGCTTCCGCATTACCGAAGCCAGGGGTCAAATCCGACATATCTGTCCGTTCGTCTCCGTCCGATGATAGCGTGTCGGCCTCTGTTCCAGAATCGACGGGCGAATCTCCGTTGGAGGTTGAGCCCCATAGGGCAGTCTGGCACTCACGAGCCGCGTACGATTGGGGGTTGGAAGGCTGTCCTTTGCCTTGTCGTGTTGAAGACGTCGGGTAGTTTCTGCCAGTCCCTGAACCCTGAAGGGCCGTCGATGGTAGTGCAGTGGCCTCCTCTGGGTCGCGGCGGTCGTCAGCCCATATGTTGTCGGGCGCGGCCGCGTCTCCACCGGCGCTTGTCATGCATGTGTTCCGCGCCCTGTGCCTCCCAGCGACACGTTTCCGATGTTGCCAGGAGCGCGTTCAGCCAGATGCCCAAATCTACGCACACGGTCCAACAATTCGTCATATTGTTGCTGGGTCCGTGGCAGGTCTGACCGTTGAAAGGCTGAAACATTCGCGCAGCCCTGCCTGGGCCGAAACTTAGGGCTCTAAAAAGAACCGTTGTGAGTAGCTAAATGTTCGGAATAGCGCCGACCTGGGCAACATCAAGACGGGCCATTTCAAACCGGACGAGGATGGAACCCGTTCTCTCACCTGGCTCCAGCAGTCACGCTCTGACGTCGCAGTGGTGTTTGCGGCATACAGAACCGTACCGTGGATAAGTATTGCGACCGACAGAACTCGCCACAACTTAGTGGGGCCAGCTCCGCTACCAAGTAAAAAGCAAGATGAGGACCATGTGCTAGTAGGTTGGAAGGTAGGTGAGAGATGGTGTATCATCCAGAAGATCGGGTCTTGTTTTAGATGCGATGGTAAATTGCGGTGTCCACAGTCAATATAAGCAAATCGGGCGCCGGCGTCTTGAGCCAGACACCGACGGCACGCTCGCTATGCTCGCTGCACATATGCCCCTCTGAACCCCTGTATTTTAGGAAACGATGCTAATTGAGGCCCCATCCCCATCGTTGACCGATCGTCTCATAGACGGCCCCAAGACGGCCCGAAAAACTCCCAACAGAGCCCCCGGAGTGCCCTGAGAACCCAGGAAGCCCGAAGAGGTCCCCGAGAGGTCCCAAAAGGGGCCCCCAGAGGGCCCCAACGGCCCCCAAGCGGCCCCCAAGAGGCCCCAAGGGGCACCCAAGAGGGGCCCCATACGCCCCAACAGGCTCTGAAGACCGCCCAGAGGTTCCCAAGACGTCGCAGGATGCCTCCACGAGGCCCCCCAAGAGGGCCCAAGAGGCCCCGAAGAGCAGCCAGGAGGCCCCGAAGAGGCCCTAAGGGGACTCCAAGAGACCCCCAAAGATGTCACAGAAGAGACTCCGAGAGGCATCGAAGAAGCCTCTGGCTCACGGAGGCTCCCCGAGCTCTCCAAGTGATGCAGCGCTCCCCCGATGGGGGCAGCTCACCTGGGAATCGTTCCCGGATGGAGTGGTGCGGATACACGAAGCGTTCAGAATTGTGGGACAAGTCCAACCCACACTCAGACAGATCCCAAGTGCTCCAAAGGGTCAGTGGTGCGGCGTAAGCCTTAGAATAACCATGGCCACCCTGCGCACCAAATGACGAATCGATTGTCAAACGGAGCGAAAAATTGGGCTGCACTGAACGCGCTGACCCGACCAGCGGGATCGAGATGCTACAGATTGACGAGCTGCCGTGGATGCACATAGCAAAGCAGGCGAGAAGCTCCTTCTGCCCGCACAACTTTGACCAGCGCATCCAACATGCCAGAATATGGCATCTGACCTTCGCGCGTCCCAACAAGGCAACTCCCACCACATGGTGCGAATGCAACATAAACCAGACTAAGCAATTGACAGACAAAGTCAGTGAACCGTGCCGAACCCATCAGTTGCAAATCGGATCCATTCAAGCATGTAATCAACCTGCTAGCCAGCGTGTAAGGTAGTGGAAGCTATGTGGTGCAATTGATGTGGTGCAGCATACGTGGCGCAAGCTAGAAGCGGCAAAGAGGCGGCAGGAGGCGATAACGTGGCGAAACCTCGACGGGCCCACCCAGCGCACGAGGCGGCAACGAGGCGGCAACGGGCGGCAACGCGGCGAAACCTCGCTGGACCCAGCAAGCGCACGAGGCGGCTACGAGAAGACAACGGGCGGCAACGTGGCGAAACCTCGCCAGGCACACCCAGCGATCAAGGCGGTAACGAGGTGGCAACGGGCGGGAACGTGGCGAAACCTCCGCGGACCCACCCAGCGCACGGGGCGGCACCGAGGAGGCAACGGGCGGCCACGTGGCGAAACTTCGCCAGGCACACCCAGCGCACAACGGGCAGCAACGTGGCGAACCTCGCCAGACCCACACAGCCCACGAGGCGGCACACGGACGGCAACGTGGCAGAACCTCGCCAGACCAACCCAGCGGACGAGGTGGCGACGAGGCGCTAACAGGCGACAACTTAGAAAATCATCGCTGGACCCAGTCAATTCCTTCGGAAAAGAAGTAAGAAACCCGAAGTGCAAGCACTGCTTGGGGAAAATACGTTGCAGTTGACGCCGCATGGTGACTGCTCACGTCAATTGCAGAAGGGTCGGATATCAAACGAATATAATATGGGAAATGTGATCGAGCTGAGATGACAATCGCCGTGTGTTGTGTAAGCCACCGTTGCATGCTGTTCCGTAACACGCGACATGCCAGAGGGACAGGACCCGCTCTCGTTCTCTATCTCTCTCTCTCTGTCTCTCTCTCCCTCTCTCCCTCTCCGAAAATGGTTGGTTACTGAACCCTATGGCTGAATGATCAAGTAAGCACGCACGCAAGCACGCACGCACGCACGCACGCACGCACGCACGCACACACACACACACACACACTCACTCACACACACACACACTCACACACACACACACACACGCACACGCACACGCACACGCACACGCACACGCACGCGCGCGCGCACACACACAGCGCGCACACACACACACACACACACACAAACACACGCACACGCACGCGCGCGCAGATGTAGCAGCCACGAGACACAGAAGATAGCAGGCTGAGTTCAGGGAGCGGGAGGCAGAAAGTGCACGGAGGTCCGCGGAGATCTCCAGAGGCCCCAAGCAGGCCAACACACGTCTCGATGGCTCATTTCTTCAACCTCAATCCGTGTTCATCGAAGCTCGGAGCAGGAGCAGGTCGAGGAGAGAGAGTAGGAAGAGTTCATCGCCCCCCCCCCCACCCCACCCCACCCCCTGAAGAGTGTTCTCACCTCCTCCTCCCACCCACCCATACCTCCTCCCCAACCCACCTCCTCCCTTGAAGATCTCCGAGAAAAATGAGGGACACAGCACAGTGTGAAGCCATTGGAAAGGTAAGTCGTGCTCATACTCCTCCTCCCCGTCCTCCTCCTCCTCCACATCATCATCATCATCAGCATCACCATCATCATCAGCATCATCAGCATCAACATCATCATCAGCAGCATCAGCATCCTCATAATCATCGACATCGTCATCAACATCATCATCATCACCACCGCCACCACCAACATCATCAAAGTCAGCAGCATCGGCATCGTCATCAGCGGCAACATGACCAGCATCAGCAGCAGCAGCATCCGCATCAGCATCAGCAGCATCATCATCACCATCACCAGCATCAGCATCATTAGCAGCATCAGCAAAGTCAGCATGATTGCCATCAGCAGCAGCAGCATCATCAACATCATAAGCATCATCATCAGTATCACCAGCATCATCATCGTCATCGCCATCGGCATCGTCATCAGCATCATCATCGACATCAGCAGCAGCAGCGTCGTCGTCGCAGCAGCAGCAGCACTGTCGTCGTCGTCGACATCGGCGTCGGCGTCGTCTTCGTCGGCCCCGTCGTCAGCAGCAGCAGCAGCAACGTCCTCACATCATCAGCATCATCGTCATCGTCATCGTCTTCGTCATCGTCGTCGTCGGTGTCGTCATCGTCGTCGTAATCGTCATCGGCATTATCATCGTCGACGCGGTCGACGTTATCAGCAGCAACATGGTCATCACCATCATAATCATAAACATCATCATAATCACCACCATCACCATCAGCATCGTCAACATCATCATCAGCATCATCATCGTCATCAATTCCTCCATCCTCATCATCACAGTCGTCATCACTGTCAGCATCATCATCGTCGTCAGCGTCATAATCATCATCAGCAGCAACATCACCAGCATCATCCTCACCACCCGCCCGTCCTTCATGCATCTCCTTCCACCCTCCTCGTCCTCCCTCTCTCCCTCCACCCTCCATCCTTTCCTCACTCCGTCCTCGTCCGCCTAATCCCTCGTTCTCCTCCTCCTCCTCCTCATTCTCCTCCTCTTCAGGGGCTGGTATGGCCCAGGTCGGCAGCAAGCTCCCACCACGCCCTTCATGCACAGCACCGCATGATGCGCCAGGCATAAGAAGGCAGCACGCTGGAGGCAAGGCCGACTCGGGCACACTCTGCATACGGTAACATCCACCACACCCTTTATCACCCGCGGCAATGAAGATTACTTGTCATGGTGTTCAATGGGCCGACTTCTCCCGATTGGACTAAATATCGACGCACGCCAAAACAACGGACACGTACATCACTATTGGCACGGGTCGACACCCTGGAGACTCTGATATGTCTCAGTGTCAGCTTCCTCATCAGAAATGTATCCTAACAAGCTGGAGGAAATCGTGCGTGGTCAGTAATTCCTGTGGCGTACCAATCCAATCATGTACGGACGACGCATGTACGGTACCTTGCAGCAGGTTGTGACACCAGCGCCACATGATGGCACAACAGGACGAGTAGAAATGGCTCACTTACTGTTGGGCAAGAAATCGCTAGAACTCTTTCCAAGATGTGTATATATATATATACCCCCGGAGGGATGACCGCCAACACGTTGAGGAGCGTAACAGCAAAATCTCGAATGTATTGGATTACGACAGAGATCGGCAAGCCTGGGAGTTCATGTGTCCCGCTAGTCCTGGGAGATTGGAAATGCAGTTCTGGCGTACAAACTGACGTGACTGAGAGGAGACTCTGCAAAGAGGACGAAATCATTGGCACACCCGACGCAGCACTGGAATCTGATGTACCACGGCATGCAAGAGTTTATTCTGGCAAACTTGTGCATGCTTGACGCTTTTGGAACACGAGGCCGACGTATTACCAATGACAGCGCACCAGCAAAATCGACCATGTGGCGGAACCGAATACGAGCCGTGCGAGAGTTCCCAAGCTTAACACACTGATTGGTTCGGGACGGAAATTACAGAGATACATCAGCATCCACGTTCATGACCATGTACCCGTTTTGGTGGACATCGGCATCTAGCATCGGCACGTCAAACAATGGGGAATACACGCCAGCAGCGAACCATGATGCCCTGATGGACGCCTGCACCACGGGTTACCGACGGATCGAGCTTCTTCAAGAAGTGGAGAAGGAAACGTATAAAGTACCAGAAAATGAATGGCGAGCGATATGGGACCGAGGTGACGTCCAGGAGGCTTGGAACAAACTATCTCATGCAATTCGTGAAGCCATGGGACCGCCCTACCCACCTACTGCTGCGCACATCATCAATTCCGAGCAGATGCGTGAACGGAGAGTCGAATTGTTGCTACAACGTGGGAAATTTCGAGAGCGACTCCGGGATACTGGCACGAAGGGTTTCAAGGCGACGGCTCAACAGAATTCGATGGCACCGAGAGGGAGCTCAAGCAGTTATCAAGCAGCATGCAAGCCCTTCGTCGTCAACAAATGAAAGACAAGATGGAACAACACATTGAGATCGACCATGCCTGGCGTCAAGGCAGGCACGCTGAAGTACACCGGCTACGTGTCACGCTTGGTGGACGTGGCCGCGGGCCAAAGGAAGTATGCATGTTTGCACCGCGCCAGGGGATGTCGCTACGTGAATGGATGAAGGTCTATCGCTTGCGCCAGAACTGGGGGACATGGAATGCAACAACATTTTCTGGGAGGGCTGGGTTGAGGATACATCTCGTTTGCCGCACATCCATGTAGTTGAAAATCTCACGGAGACGGTCACACAAGACAGAGCAGGCCAGATGACTTATCTCAGACAAGCATCGAAAAGACGAGGACCGTCGTGGGGAGTCTTGGCAAAACAATGTGCATGTGCATGGGCATCAAGAGATACACCAACGAGAACGACAGGAAGTATGTCCCCCCCCTTGTTTCCCAGGTGATACAACGACATGTTGGCACTCATACAGCTTGTTGGAGCGGCCCCTTTATCAGCTATTAGGTCCCAAGTACTTGCACAAGCAGAATACAACTCTCAGCAGGGCATCAAGGGCCAGAAGGTTTTGCACTGTTTCGACGCGCTCGGCATGTCTTCGTGTACTTCGCTCACGAAGGTCTTCGAGGCAGACGGAGGGAAGGAGGAATAGTGAGGCTACCTGCAGCATGCTTGAGACTGAGAATGTCACACATCAGTAACAGTGTGTCAAGCTACGACGGGACCAGCGTCTTCGCGTGCACACGTCGAGATAAGCTACACGAGCATCATAGTTCATGCGGCCGTACAATAGATAAAGCTCCTCTACATATTAACGACATCGACGGCAAAGCGGACGTTTACCCCAGCAGGCCACCACCATGGGGCACTCATATGCCGCAAGGGACTTCATAGAGATCAACTCACCAGCCGTACACGCACGGAATCAAGACTTAGTGAGAATGACTACCCACGAATACGAGAAATCAACCCGATTAGCACGGAC